CCTAAGACTTTGGAGAAGGGGATGCTCCCAAAACACGCCCCCCAAGATTTTGGCAAAATGTGCTCCCAAAAAGACAAGTCGCAGGCGCAGCCCTCCAAAAAAATTGGACAAGTTTATGCTCCCAATCAGTTTTTCTTGTTAAAGATGAGTTTACATGTCTTCCTACCTTGTTCCTTTCTTCTTCCGGTTCGCTCGCTCGTTCTCTATCTCTCTCTCTCTCTCTCTCTCTCTCTCTCTCTCTCGCTCGCTCTCTCCATCTTTTTGCTTTTATGGGCGGCATGTCTTGTAGAATTGGAAGACGAGGAGGAGGGTGAACTACAAAGCAGAGATTTGCTGAAGCAGAGAGGGAGTGAGACACGGCGAGGCATAGAGAGAGAAGCATAGACCGTGGGAGAGAAAGGGTCTCTTGACTCTTAGCTTCCCCTTTCTCAAGTCCATATTAATTTTCTTTCTTGTGGAAAAGAAAGAGGAAAAGAGAAGAGAGAAGAGGAATTTACAAGTTCTTCCTACCTTGTTCTTGTCCCTCCTTCTTCTCTCCCCCCTGACCCTGTCTCTTTTTCTCTCTATCTCCTCATTTTTCTGTTAAAGTGGTACGGGAAGGCGGAATGAGATGAAGGCAGCGTCCTCCCCTGGAGGCACCTGCCCACAAAAAAAGGAGCATCAGCTTCCAAGAGATTTGCAGAAGGAGAGAGGGAATGAGACAACGCAGGGCATGGAGAGAAGCGTAGACCGTGGGGGAGAGAGAGCGAGAGGGCCTCTTGGCTTTCCCCTTATCTCGTTCTCTGTTTAGACAAGAAAAAAAGGGAGTTTGCACCTTCTTCTCGCTCCTCACTCGTCTCTCTTCTCCACACCCCTCTCGCGCTCCTTTTTTCCCCCTTTTTCAGCGGGCTTGAGGACAAGGGGTTTCCCCACGACCGCCCCACGCTGCACTCACTCTCTCTCTCTCTCTCTCTCTCTCTCGCTCTGTTTTTTCTTTCTTTTCTGAGAAGAACAGGAAGGGGTGGAAGCTGATGCTGGGTGCCTCCAGGGGGGGGACGTTGCCTTCCTCTCATTCGTACCACTTTAAAAAGAATGAGGAGATATAGAGAAGGAGTGACAGGGTCAGGGGGAGAGAAGCGGGAGGGACAAGAACAAGGTTAGAAGAGGCCATGATAGTACGACTTACGTGACAGCAGCGTGCCCTCGTGGGAACGTCAAGTTTTCCTCCAAAGAGCCAAATCAAGCCCTGGTCCCTAAGATATTGGGTTCAAGTTTTCTTCCAAAGAGCCAAATCGCAAGCCCTGGTCCCTAAGATTTTTGGGTTCAAGTTTTCTTCCAATCTAAGAACATGTCTGGCGACCCCGAAAAGACATAGACTCCCAGTTTCCCACGTGACAGCCTCGTACCCTCGTCGGAATGGGTTTGGTAATAACAAAACCCGAGTGCCAGCTTCCAAATAAACCCTATTTAAGCCACCCACACCCCCCCCCCCCCAACTTCGGAAACGGATCCCCTTCGCCGTAGAACTTATTTACTGAAAAATATGAATTATCCCCTTGTTTTCTTTTTAAATACATCCAGATAAATATTATTCCTAAGGGAGCTATGGACTAGGGGGTAATCTATTGGCCTGAAACACTGGAACAGGGTGTGGGGGCGGGGGGGTTCTTATAGTGTACTGACAAAGGAACCACAAGGGAATACCATTAGTACTTCTTCCGAACCTTTTAGCCCTAAACCCTAAACCCTAAACCCTAAACCCTAAACCCTAAACCCTAAACCCTAAACCCTAGCCCTAAACCCTAAACCCTAAACCCTATTCTGGTTCTTCGGCTTCCCGAGGTTGCGACTCGGCGGTGGCCGCAGAGCTCACGCCCTCGGGAGCGTTGAGTGAAGTCTTGGTCTTAGGGTTTAGGGTTTAGGGTTTAGGGTTTCGGGTTTAGGGTTTCGGGTTTGGGGGGGAGAGGGGGGGCGTGGTGGGAGAGGGGAGGGGGTAGAGGGGCGAGGGATTCGGGTTTTGGGGGTTTGGGAGCTTAGGATTTAGGGTTTAGGGCTTCGGGTTTAGGATTTAGGGCTGAGGGGGTAGGACGGGCTCAGTCAATCTCCTCAACCCTATAAACCCTAAATCCTCTACCCTGCTCGAAGGGAATGCTGGATTCAACGACTACAAACGGTGCCAACAAAGATCTAAAAACACCCAAGATGTCAATGAGCCAAAAAGGCAGGCCTTAATGGGCCCCAGCGATCTCTTTGGGCATCGTATAGGGTTTAATTAGGGTTTATAGGGTTTAGGGTTTTTAGGGTTGAGGGTTAAGGGTTTATAGGGCTTATGGGGTTTATAGGGTTTATAGGGTTTATAGGGTTTATAGGGTTTATAGGGTTTATAGGGTTAAGGGTTCAACGCTCCCGCACTTGGGCTCTCCATCCTTGGAGCTAGCGATAGGAATCCTATCCCCCAGACCCTGACGCCTAGGAACCCTTGTTTGGTTGCGGCTGGCGGTGACAACCTTAACCCTAAACCCTAAACCCCAAACCCTAAACCCTAAACCCTAAACCCTAAACCCTAAACCCTAAACCCTAAACCCTTGTTTGGTTGCGGCTGTCGGTTACAAGGAAGCCTGGCCCTCCTAAACAAAATCAACAAGGGTTTAGGGTTTAGGGTTTAGGGTTTAGGGTTTAGGGTTTAGGGTTTGGGGTTTGGGGTTTGGGGTTTGGGGTTTAGGGTGGGGCACCGCGAGGTCCAACCAGGGGTTAGGGTTTGGGGTGATAACTTGTGCGTATAAAATCCTCCATTTTTGTCGCTGCACATCACTTGCCCTAGGTGAGCCGTAAACTCCTGTATACAGATGCCCTACATCGCAATTTTGCAGCTCTGTATGCTCGATGTTCTAAAACTTTAAGCCCTCGGGTGGTGATCGGGACTCTTCAGGGGACTGTGACGGTTCAGGGTTTTAGGGTTTCAGGGCTTTAGGGTTTCAAGGTTTTCCCTAAACCCTACCCTCAACCCTAAACCCTGAACCCTAAAGGGCTTTGGAAACTTTGGAGGCGTTGGGGGTGTTGAGGCGTGTAGGGTTTGAGGGCTTAAGGCTTGAAGTTTAGGGCATACGGCTTGTGGCTTAGGCTTTGTGCTCGCTTGAAACACCTGGACCCCACACCCAGGTTTTGCGGCTTGGGGCCACTAAGCCCTAAACCCTAAGCCCTAGACCCTAAACCCTAAACCCTATAGACCCTAGACCCTAGACCCTAAACTACCCTAAACCCTAAACCCTAAACCCGGCTTGGGGCAGCCGGAACAAAACTGCAAATGCCACAGGAGCAGCAAGGACTCAACCTCAGCCGATCATCAACAAACAACTCATGCAGCCGCAACCACAAACCCTGCCTGCACCCATATTAAATGTGGCTCCCGAAATCCGCGTCCCCAAAGCCCTGTCAAATTCAGAGCGCCGCCTCCAATGTGCTGAACACGGGATCGCTCTTTACCCACCTGGGCAGGCAACTCCTCATTCAAGAAACATATAGAAGGGGATTTTTAGCAAGAACCTACGGAAAAAATAGGTTCTAGTTTCTTAAAGTAGTGTTCAGATATTGCGGCTTTGCGGCCATAGGAACCCTTCGCCCCGCCCTTCAGGAGACCAAAGCATCCCTACAGCCTTCTGATCATGTACCAGGCCAGTATGCCGAAGGCATCCCCACTTACTCCAAACCCTATAAACCCTGAACACGAAGGGTAAAGCCCTGAACCTGGAACCCTGAGCCCCATATACCAGCCCATGCCCTGCATTCCTGCAACTTTGCTTACCTGCTCTCCAACACAAGAACCCAAAACCAGGGTTTAGGGCTTAGGGCTCAGGGTTTAAGTAGGGTTTACCGTCCGGCGTTTAGGGTTTCGGGTTTGGGGCTCCTTCTCCCCCAAGGAAAGCCCAGCCACCCGTGGCCGTCACTCCGATCGCGCGTGCGGAGCTGTCGGCCCTCGCGCCTCATTAAGGGCTTGACTGGCTGGTTCTTGGTAAGGAATGAGGGTTTGGGGTTTAGGGTTTAGGGTTGAGGTACCCTGCATATTCCCTTCAAGGGCATATATAGGGCCATACTTCCTTCATTCCCTACCAAGAACCAGGGGTTGAGGAGTTTACGGGGGTTTCGGCTCTAAAGATGAGGGGCCTTAGGGTTACTAGTTCTTAGCACTGAAAGGGTAAAATGGGGGGGGGAGTAAGCGCTTGTCGCAGGTTCCCCAGTGACCGAAGAACGAAAAGGTTTAGGGTTCAGGGTTTATTCTCTACTTGGGGGTGTCAAGTTCAGGGTTTAGGGTGTAGAGTTCAGAACTTGGGAACTGCGGCCCCTGTTATTAGGGTAATTTTTGTGTTGATTAGGAAAATGCTAACCTTTGGGGAAATGATGAAAGCAGGCCAGACACGCCGCAATGCTTGAGCCCCGGAAGAAGCTGTTTGAAGATGTGACGCATACCTTTCCGCAATGAACGGCAGCGCCGTGAGACTTGCAAGCTTGGATCAGCTCCTGCGGATGCCAGATCATCCTCGCCCTGGGCATTGACCAGGAACTCGCCATAGAACTTGCTCGTGCCGCCGGATGAACTTCTCCGTACTATACAGGGCCCAAAAAAAGGGACCCTCATTCAGAGACCCGCCCTGCCCTTGTGAGGGCAACGCCTGTTGCAGAGTGTCCATGTTGCCGAAGACCGCGGCCGGTAGCGCACCGCCAGTTGGGATGTCGTGGCGCTACCTCGAGTGCAATGCAATCAATCAATCAATCAATCAATCAATCAATCAATCAATCAATCAATCAATCAATCAATATATATATATATATACATAGATAAATATATATATATATAATGCCTACACATATATATATATATATATAGTCTTCTCTGAGCCTTGTTCTTGGATGCCATGCCATGTCAAACTATAACGCTTGCGGCCCTGACAAACCGAAAGAGCACAAACAAAGTAAAACATATGCTCAAGAACGGTCTGGTTTCACGATGCCTGGCAGCACCCATGTCAGGTCGTTGTACTGCGAAGCTGCTCGAGCTGTGTCAAATACTCGGAGAAGGATGCCTCCTGCGAAAGCCTGGCGCAAGTTACAGATCGTTTCGCTTCGTCGACTAGCGGCTCAACGGCCACCAACTTAGGTTCAGAGATTTCTTACCAAGGTAGCAAGGTTTAGGGTTTAGGGTTTCGGGTTCAGGGTTCAGGGTTTAGAAGATGATGCCCCGGAAGCATTAAACCTACAAGGGCTGATGACCCAGCAGCCTCGATTCCTCGGGTGAGCTGGGTGCCGTCGAGCCCTCCAAGCAACACAACGCCCGGTCACCCAAGGACATGAAGAAGCGCAGCAGGGCAATCTCTTCCTCCGGGGCTTTCATGACATGGGCTTAGGGTTTATGGTTTAGGGTTTAGGGCTACTTGGGGCTTGCAGGGTTGAGGCAGATCAGCATCCTGAAGGGAGGGGGCCCGAAGGGGCGGGAGGTATCTTGGGTGCGCAGAGGACTTTAGGCGTTAAACAACGGGGTTTAACAGGCTTAAAGGGGGTTGAAAGGGTTTAGAGGGGGGGTTTAATAAGGGGCTTAAAAAGGGATTTAAAGGGATTTAAAGAGGCTTAAGGGGGGTTAAAGGGGCTTAAAGGGGTTGAAAAAGGGGTTTTTCAGGGGGTTAGAAGGGGTTTGAAAGGGCTTTAGAGGATTCAGGCTTGAAAGCTGAAAAAGGCTTTAGGGCTTACTTGGAGGTTCATGGTACTTAGTAACTAATTATAACTGTACTTATAACCCACTTATAAGCCCCTTAAGTGCCCTAATATGGTTATAGGTACAGTTATAAGTACAGTTATAATTAGTTACTAAGTACCATGAACCTCCAAGTAGGAACTTGAAATGCTGGGGAAGGGTTGAGGTTTGAGGGTTGAGGATTGAGGGTTTATGGAGGGAACATTGGGTCCCTGCTTAAGGACCTTACAAGGGACCCTCGGCCTGAAACCCGGTTTGGGGTTTAGGATTTAGGGTTTAGGGTTTATGGGGTTTTTAGGGTTTTAGGGTTTTTAGGGTTTTTTAGGGTTTTTAGGGTTTAGGTTTAGGGTTTAGGGCTACCCCATCCTCAACCCTCAACCCTCCTAACCATGACTCAAAGGCTCCTGCAGTGCTTGGGCGCAGGTCTCTGCGGCCAGAATCTCCCAGGCAGAGGGCTGCTGGCTGCGGAGCACATCCTCGCCAGATGTCAGCCTGGGGGAATCCGGCTGGAGGTGTAGTAGCGTTTTAGTAGCCCTAAACCCTAAACCCTAAACCCTAAACCCTAAACCTTAAACCCTAAACCCTAAACCCCCCTGTAGTACCCTGAAGGGGGCCTTTCAAAGATGGCGCCCTTGAGCGGCCACCCCAAAAATGAGCCCAGCCAGGTACCCCGAAACAGGATAGGAGGCTCAAACCCTAAACCCTAAACCCTAAACCCTAAACCCTATCGGCGGGCCTCATGACCCCTTCCTGACACAGCTTGCGGAACGCCGCCCAAGCCAGCGTCTCCAGTCGGACATCGCAGGGCCCTTCACAGGCAGCACCTGGCAGGGAGCACAGGCCCTTAACCCTAAACCCTAAACCCCAAACCCTAAACCCCAAACCCTCAACCTTCGCAGGGCTTCGGGGTTAAGGGATTAGGGTATCTATGCTAAGGCTAAGGTAAGTGCGTAACGACGCTTGGGCCCGGAAGGTTTAAGGCTTAAGGTCCAGGGCTTGAAGGTTTAGGGTTTAGGGTTTAGGGTTTAGTCAGGGTTTAGGGTTTAGGGTTTAGGGAATTTGCAGTTCAGGGCTTCGGAATGGGGAATGTCGGGTTTAGGGCTTGAGAATTGTCGGGGTTCAGAACACCTGCAATCCCCCAAACTCCCTAAAACCCCCTCAAAACACCCGAACAACCCTCAACCCCAAACAAAACCCGAAACCCTAAGCCTAAGAGGCGGCCTTCGCCAGCATTTGCGGCACGGAGCAGAGGGAGAAGGCGGCGCCAGCCGGACTCGTCTACCTCCAGGGGTGTGGGCCTTATAAGGGTTTTGGGGTTCAGGGCTTGGCGTTTAGGGCTTTAGGGTTTAGGGTTTGGGGGTTTAGGGGAGTGAAGGGCATAAGGTTTTCAAGGCGTTGGGGAGGCGGCTACGTAGGGTGTCCAGGGATTGAACGGCTTTAGGGTCTAAGCATCTAGGGATAGAGGCTTTAGAGTTCAAGGTTTAGATGTGTTCTGGGCGTAATTCTCCATACGGATCATGGATCCTTTCAAGCTTCATGGTTCATACTTTCCCTGAACCCTAAACCCTAAACCCTAAGCCCTAAACGCCTCCACAGTTAGGGTCCGGCGTCCGGGCCGGCCGCCCGCCAGCTGCCAGAACTTGGCGTGCGCCTTCCCGAGAAGGGTTGAGGGGTTTGGGGTTTAGGGTTTAGGGCTTCTTGGTTGCTGAGTTCATAAGCCCCCAAAAGTGTACACTTTCAGTTCTATAGGGGATCAGAGTATTCCAAAAAGTGTAGAGTGTACTCACTCAGCTACGAAGGTTTACAGGGCTGAGGGTTTTGGGTTGAGGGGTCTGTGCACCTCCCTCTCGACAGCTGTGCTATGCTCATCGCAGGTCGGTGGGATGACGTTGACCGAGGTGATGGACCGCCCCTGTCTGGAGATGAAGCATATAAGTTGTTGCGGTTTAGGGTTTAGGGCGCGGGGGGGGGGGGGGGGGGGGCCTCCCCTACTATTCATACAGAATACTTGTAGGGCTCCTGGAAGTCCCGGGGCTGCAATGCAAGGTTTCGAGGCTTAACGGCTTAACGTCCTAAGGTCGGGTTTAGGGTTTAGGGTTTAGGGTATAGGGTTTAGGGTTTAGGGTTGCACAAGCGTCAAGAGCATCACGGCAAGACCCCTTGACCTTACAAATTGTGGACAAATCTGAGCAGCCCTAAACCCTCAACCCTAAACCCTATCCCACACCCGGCACTGAAACCTAAACACCTTGACCATCAATCCGAGACCCCTGCAGCCCTAAACCCCTAAACCTAACCCCTTGAGTCTGGGGGAGGTAAACGGTAGGGGTGCAACCTTCTGGGGAGCTTCCTGATTTGCTGTGCGCTTGCTCGGGTCCTGCTGCAAGCAAAAGCCATAATCCACAAACAAAGTCGGGTTGGTCTTGTCGCCATATGTCTGGAAGACTTCCTGGCCCTCTGCCACGGGCCGCGTGATGCGCATGAGGAAGTGCCCCGGGCAGCCTTCGTCTTCATCGCCTGACTTTTTTTCTTGGCTCGTCCCTACATCCTGCTTCCGCAGGAACCGTGTTCCATCTTTCTGTTCTTTTTTTCGCAAAACGCGGGCTTCGACAAAGTTCCAAAGCTGTTCCGGGGGGCGCGCAGATTGGAAGCCGTAGCGGGCCAATAGATGATCTCCTTGTCCATGATTTAGGAGGTCCTCGGGTTCCCTAGGACAAGTCACAACCCTAAACCCTAAACCCTAAACCCTAAACCCTAGACCCTAAACCCTAAAACCCAAAGCCAGCAGGGATGGTCTCTCTAACTGCGACACAATGACGAAATCATACCAAAAAAGAGTAGCAAGAGTGATACATAGATAGATTTGATTTTTAAACCCTAAACCCTAAACCCTAAACCCTAAACCCTAAACCCTAAACCCTCTCTTGTGCTGTACAAAGGGTCGGCCCAGGGCACCAGGCAGCGCTGGTGCGAGCTGCCATCCACAGGCAGGCTGTAGGCCCGGCTTGATACCATGCAGCGGCACCATAGAAAGTCCTCCCATGTCTTCCAACCCGTATGCCATCAAGCCTGGTGACATCTACCCATAAGGGTCCATGTACCTGTGTATGGGAACCCCGGCCCAAGTTTATCCTACATGCGGGTTTAGGGTTTAGGGTTTAGGGTCTAGGGTTTAGGGTTTAGGGTCTAGGAAGCCATCATCTGCAGCCTGCACCTCTTTCTGCCCATACCCGGATGTCCTCCCACTCCACGGAGAGGTGCTTGCCGGCTTGGCTCTGGAGGAGCGAGAACTCCAAGCCCAAACTGTGACGTCTGGCCTTCACCTGGGGATTCCAGATTCTTATGGCCCTAAACCCTAAACCCTAAACCCTAAACCCTAAACCCTAAACCCTAACCCCTAAACCCTAGAAACCCTAGAAACCCTAAGCCCTAAGCCCTAAACCCTAAATGGATTGTAGAGGTCTTCGGTCTTAAGATTGTGGGGAACCCTTGGAGATCTTATAGGGCTGAAGGTAGGATTTAGGGCGCCCTTGAGGGCTTCTAGGGCCTCGGGTCTCGGGTCTGTGGTTTAGGAAACCCTCGAGGCTTCGGGGTTTGTTTGAGGCTAGACCACCCTAAACCCTAAACCCCGAACCCTTGATCCCTGAATTAACTAATACCCCCTGAGGCTTTGCGGCTCAGGGCTTTCATAGGCATCACAAGCCCTAAACCAACAACCCTTACCCCTAAATCCTAAATCTAAAACCTAAACCCCAAAACCCCCAAACCCCAATCCCTGAAACCCCAAACCCTGCGTCCTGGGGCCCCAGACCAAGCGCTCGAGGTGGCTGCCCCTCAGAGACGCGTGGAGCCAATGTTCTGCCGGCCAGAAGGCTGGCATGTGCTGCACCTGCAAACCCTCTCGGGTTTACGGCTTAAGGCTTCAAAGGGCGAACTGCTCAGGGTTTAGGGCGATTCCATAACCCTGAACCCTAAACCCGAAAGCTTGGGACGTTCTCCCTTGTACTAACAGTCCTTAGGAGGGATTATAAAGGGGGAACATCCCAACCCAAACCCTAAACCCTAAACCCTAAACCCTAAACCCCAAACCCCAAACCCTAAACCCTAAACCCGACACCCGCGACCCGGGGAACTTCGGTCCGATTTGGGGAGGTGCTCGCACCTCCACAGGGAGGGCCTGGTAGTAGGGCGCGAAGAAGCTCCTCCGCTGCTCTTGAAGATTCTGGGGGAGATTCTGCGGTTTAGGGGAAGACCCTGAACCCTGAGAACCCGGTAAAACCCTAGCAAGCCCTATTGAAACCCTACAAACCCTGCAACAAACCCTATAAACAAAACTTATAAGAAACCTATAATAAACCCTATAGAAGCTCCATAGACACCCGAGAGAAAAACCCACTAAACAAACCCTGTAAACCCCACACATAGCAAACCCTTAATTAAGAAGCCCCCCCCCCCCCCCCGCCTCAAAAAAAAAAAAACTAGCGTCTAGACAAGACCGAGGCTCTGCGCACCCGTGCCCAGAGGAGCCTTTGCGGCCTGGGGTGCAGAGTCCTGGAGCAGCCTCGAGAGGCCGCAGGGTTTCGGGTTTAGGGTTTAGGGTTGGTTTAGGGTTTAGGGTTTAGGGTTTAGGGTTTAGGGCTTAGGGTTTAGGGTTTAGGGTTTAGGGTTTAGGGTTTAGGGTTTAGGGTTTAGGGTTTAGGGTTTAGGGTTTAGGGTTTAGGGTTTGGGTTTAGGGTTTAGGGATTATAAGGTTTAGGGTTTAGGGTTTAAGGTTTGCTTTTGCGGGGGGGTGCGAGGTCTTTTCGAGGGTTTATAGGGCTTCTAGAATGTTTAATAGGGTGTAATCACAAGGTGAACTAAAGGGCGTAAAAGGCTGTTGGGTTTGTAGGGTGTAAAGGGGCCATAGAGTCTGCAGGGTGCCAAGGGCTTGTCAGATGTTTGGGGTTCACACCTGAACCCAAAACCCAAAACCCTATAAAACCATAAAAAACGTAAACCCCTAAACCCAAACCCTAAACCCTAAACCCTAAACCCTAAACCCCTACTGAAAACCCCTGAACGCCCCAAAGTACAAGCCCCCAACAGCAAGCCAAATGGCCCATGTATACTGGGGCCTTTAAAAGGGGTTGCTAAATAGTAGCTTTAGGGTTGCTATACAGCATCTTTAGAGCACAGGTATGTCCTACAGGGTACATGGACTCACCCTAAAGCCTCAACCCTAAACCCTAAACCCTAAACCCTAAACCCTAAACCCTAAACCCTAAACCCTAAACCCCAAACAAGACAGCCGAAGACGCAGAGCTGTGAGCAAGAGGAGGCCCGCGGCGGAGGGCATCAGCTGCTCAGCCGCCATGCGCAGCTCCGGCCCAAAGGGCAGCGATGCCTGCTTAGGGATCTCCCGAAGGGTCCATCTACTTGGCCCCAAAAGTCCATGAATGGCAAGTATCGGAAAACCCAAGAATTTCTTACTTAGGCACATGAACCCTTAGGGCTAGGCTTTGTAGGTTAGGGTGAGGGGTTGTCTAGGGCGCAGGATAGGGCCTGTAGGGTTTAGGCTTTAGGAGTTTTTCGGGTTCATCAGGGGCATGGCGGTGCTGCTTGGGCAGGTACCCTAAACCCTAAACCCTAAACCCTAAACCCTAAACCCTAAACCCTAAACCCTAAACCCTAAACCCTAAGCCTAAACCCTAAACCCCAAACCCCAGTGCCTCCGCGAGGCTCTCCGTGATGAGAAGTTTGAGAGGGATTCGACAGAAGTCGGTGTCGGCGGGCAAGCCCTTCAGGGTCTCCAAGGTGTAGGGTTACTGAAGGCTCCTAGGGTTTAGGGGTTAGGGCCTGGGATGAGGGTTAAGGGTTTGAGGTATAAGTTCTAGGGTTTAGGGTTTAGGGTTTGGGGTCCAGGGTCCAGGGGTTGAAGTTGAGGTTTAGGGCTCTATGTCCAGGGTGTAGGGCATGGCTCCAAATAATTGGGGCCTGACTTTTGGCATGCAAACATCACTATACAAATGTACACTACATAAATTAAACAGATTGCATGAATATTCCACACACACACATATATATACATATATAGACATACATACACATAAATATACATATCATGCTTTCGTCTTGATTATCTGATATCTTCTTTCTCCACAAGCAAAGGCCATAAGCCACCTTTAGGCAACATGGGGGAGGGAGGTTGCAGGGATACACGATACTCGAGATACCGGAACTCAAATCACCCACCGCATGTGGGGTGGATTGGGGGGGGGCAGTCCAAAAAGATGCTTTCCTTTCTTCAGTGGCCGTTTAGGATTTTTTTTGGGGGGGAGTGCAAAATGGGGGAACCTTTTTCGGAAACTTCCAGATGGGCTTCCCAGGGTTTGAGGCCTTGGGGTTTGGGCCTAGACTCATTGTGGTTTGGGGCTGACCCCTTTCCTCGTGCGCAAAGACTCCGCGGTAGCCATCGGCTTCCACCACCGAGGCAGCTTCGCAGATGCGGCCGCCATGTTCGCGAATCCACGTCTCCAGCGCCGCAATGCGGGCGGGACCATCGGCAGATGACATCAAGTGTCGGGCTTATAGAGAGCTTCTTCTGAAGTGCTCTCTCTTCCCGCTAGACCTGAAGTGCTCTCTTCCCTGCTAGACCTTAACAACCCGGAACCTATACTATACCTACTGGCTCCTATGTAGTACCTTTATGGGGTATTACACTAGACTCCCCTATAACTAACCCCAGAGAAGGAACTACCTTGAACCTCGGGTGGACACTAGGCAGGTTCTCAAGGATCTTGGGACGTCGGTGGGTAGAACCTGCAACTTCGGATAGAGCCTTCGCGCGCAAGTATGCAGCGAGCTGTCACGCAATCCTTTCCTGTTCAAAGAATCACAGTTTGGCCTGGGTAACCCCTATTTTTGGGAAATGCCTGTCTTCTGAGTCCGAGCCATCGCTTTAGGATTAGGGCTTAGCAAGGGTCCTAAGCCTTACGTCACCAGCGGGAAGGTTTAGGGATTAGGAGCCCGAGGATGGTACCAAAAATACCCTTGAGTTGAAGACCCCACCCATAGCCCCTATGTAGAAGCTTTGGTATGTCTGAGCCCTGAACCCTCGAAAACACAATCCTAAAAGCCTCACACCCCGAAAGTCTAGCAGCCCACTAAACCCTAAACCCTGAACCCTGAACCCTAAACCCGAAACCCTAAAATCTAAACCCTCAACCCAAAACCCCAAACCCCAAACCCCACCAAACCCAAACCACGAAACCCTTGTGAGCTGAGCTTATCTTGGACTCCAAAAGCACCGCCCAGGTCTGGCACGGAGGCTCCCAATTCTGGAGGTCGTCCGCTTCGGCATCCTGAAGTGTAGGGTTTAGGGTTTAGGGTTTAGGGTTTAGGGTTTAGGGTTTAGGGTTGAGGGTTGAGGGTTGAGGGTTGAGGGTTGAGGGTTGAGGGTTGAGGGTTGAGGGTTGAGGGTTGAGGGGTTTAGGGTGTGGGGTTTAGGGTTTAGGGTTTAGGGTGTGTGGTTTGTGGTTTGCTCGGAAGCCCTTTTTGCCTTCGTTAGTCTTCTTAGTATCCCTGGAACCCCCTTTAACAACCCCCATAACACGACCCTACTGACCCTACTTCTTAAGTCAAAGGGGCTTCCAAGTAGGGTGTGGGGTTCAGGGTTTGGGGGTTTAAGGTTTAGGAATCCTGCTTGAGCGCCTAGGTGTAGGAGTTGGAATTAGGGCTAGGGCTTAGTGGTCAGGAGTCCTGCTTATAGGGTTTAAGGTTTAGGGTTTAGGGTTTAGGGCTTAGGGTTTTGGGTTTAGGGTTTATAAAAGGTTTAGGGTTTAGGGCTTAGGGTTTAGGGTTTATAAAAGGATGTGCATACTTGGAGGCGCTTTTGACTGAATAAGTGGGGTTAGAAGGTTGGGTTCTGGGGATAATTCACGGGAATTCTGGGGCCTAATTACAAAGTAGACTGACGAAGTCAAGGGGCTTCCAAGTACGATCGGACTTTGTGCTTTCAAGGGCGTTTTTGGGGCATCCTTAATCCTAAACCTTAAACCCTGAACCTGAACCCTAAACCCTAAACTCGCAACTCTACCCTAAACCCTAAACCCTAAACCCTAAACCCTAAACCCTAAACCCTAAACCCTAAACCCGAAACCCTATACTTGGTGCTTAAGGCTGGCTAAGAGTTGATGGCTTAACCTGAGCCCTGAGCCCTGAAACCATGAAACCAGACTCGGAGCTGAAGAAGAGCCACCGGGTACTGGTTTAGGGTTTAGGGTTTAGGGTTTAGGGTTTAGGGTTTAGGGTTTAGGGTTTAGGGTTTAGGGTTTAGGGTTTAGGGTTTAGGTTTTAGGGTTTAGGGTTTAGGGTTTAGGGTTTAGGGTTTAGGGTTTAGGGTTTAGGGTTTTCAAAATAGGGTTTAGAGTTTTGGGGCTTCGGGTTGAGAGTCCAGGCCTGTTCCGCTTTGGCAGCAGGCCGCACCTTCGCAGGAGCACTCGATACTTGGAGGTTCATGGTACTTATTGGTTTCGGGTTTAGGGTTTAGGGCTTAGGGTTTAGGGGTACTTAGTAGCTCATTCTATTTGTACTTATAACCCACTTATAAGCCCCTTAAGTGCCCTAAACCCTGTTATAATGAATTACTAAGTTGACTGAACCTCCAAGGAGGATTCCTGGGTTGCGAAGCCATAAGCCCCAAATTGGGATGTTCCCCCTTATACTCACAGACATTCATGGGACTTCAATAGGGGGTACTACAATCCCTATTCGGGTTAGGGTTTAGGGTTTAGGGTTTGGGGCTTAGGGTTTAGGGTTTAGGGTTTAATAAGGGGGAACATCCCACGCTCAAACCCGATGCGATGGCTTTAGGGGGAAAGCGTTTCTAGTTCGAAAAACAGGTTTTTGTATCCTAAACCTTTCTGGGTGTATCCTAAACCCTAAACCCTAAACCCTAAACCCTAAACCCTAAACCCTAAACCCTAAACCCTAAACCCTAAACCCTAAACCCTACAGGGAGATATCCCCTATAGTTCTCTGAGTTCTGAGAATATACGGGATGACCATTCTATGGCGGCCCCCTAATGCTTAGGGGGCCCAAGAAGGGACAACAATTGTAGAGAACCCCAAGTAGAAGTCGGGTTCCTGAACGAACCCCTACTATTGGCTTAAGAGCCATCCACCCCCCCCAAAAAAAATCATAAATAAATAATTAAATTAAAAAAAACATGAATAAGTAAAAATAAAAGCGCTAAACCCTACACCCTGAACCCTCAACCCTAAACTCAAAAGCTGATGCTTGCGAGCCGCAAGGATGCCAGACTTCGAAGCCTGTGGATACCGCGCATCCAGGGCCTCACAAGAAAGGGTTTAGGGTTTAGGGTTTAGGGTTTAGGGTTAGGGGGGGCTTAGGGTTTAGGGTTTCGGGTTGGGGGTTTAGGGTTTTAGGTTCTGGGGCTAAGCATGAGGAGTTCAGCAGGGGCTTAAGGGCTTCGGGGCTTGAGGGGTTTGATGGTTTACTGAAAGGACTGAGGGGCCCGAAGTCGGGTTTAGGGTTTAGGGTTTAGGGTTTAGGGTTTAGGGTTTAGGGTTTAGGGTTTAGGGTTTAGGGTTTAGGGTTGGTACTGTGTACGAGGGTATTGGGGATTAGGCGACGTAGGCCGCAGGGTTCAAGGAAGACAGGGGGGCGGGCCTGAAGATTAAGAAGCCAAGGGGGGCTATACAGGTGAGGGTTGGGGGTTGGGGTTTAGGGCTATGGTGCTTTGGGGCTTTTGGGTCTTGGGGGTGTAGGCTTTTAGGGATTTGGTGTAGAGTAATTATTGAGGTTTAGGGTATGAAGATGTATTTGGGTGCAGGGCTTAGGGATTTCCAAGTCCACGCCAAGCCAGAACCCGCTGCTGTGGGCTCGGATCTTGCTTCGCTGACTCTGGCCTGGGTTCAGCGCATTCCGTGTCCTGAGCCTGAAACCCAAATGGGGCGAACCCATAACCCCAAACCTCCCCTCCCCCCCCCGGCTCCTACCCCACTCCCCCCAAACCCTGTTGATTATGACAACATGCCAAGGTCCTACCTGGTCAGCTGGTCTTGGGTTTACGAAGTTCAGACCCTAAACCCTAAACCACCCTAAACCCGAAACCCTTAACCCTAAACCCTTAACCCTAAACCCTAAACCCTCAACCGCAGAGCCTCGAGGAGATTCCGCGTGAGGCTTCCGGGCACCTGGACTCGAGAAATTTGGGTTTAGAGGGTTTAGGAATAACTGTAACTGTACAAGTTACAAGCCACTTATCAGCCCCTTCAGTTTCCTCATATGGTTATAGGTGCAGTTATAAGTACAGCTACACTTAGTTACGAAGTACCATGAACCTGCAAGCAGGGCTTAATGATGCTCAAGGATTAGAGCTTAGGGTTTAGGATTCAGGGTTCAAGGCTTCCGGTTTCCTGGTCGCAGGGCAGCCTAAAAATGGGAAAAAAAGTGAATTTAGGGCTTAAGGTTCAGGGTCCAGGGCTTAGGGTTGAGGATTCTGACGGTTTGGACCATGAGAAAACCTTGGTTCCACCCCCCAAAACAAAAGGAGAGAAGATACCTCAACTGGTGGGATCATGCCCCCATTTTGCAGGGGTACATCGGCTACTCAAGGGTAAACCCGACACCCCAAACCCTGAACACGCTAAACCCAAGGGTTCGGGCACTGGAGTGAAGGGTTCAGGTTCTCGCCCAGACGTCGACATGAAGTATGAAGTGGTTGGGTGCAAAGGGCTCCACCAGAGTCGGGTTTAGGGTGTCGTTTTAACCCAGGTCATAGCACTACTGGAAGTCTCATGGTCCCTTTCAATATGATCCCTTACCTCCGGTGGAGGGATTCTGAAGTATGGGCCTTGGGGTTTCTAGGGTTTGGAAAGGGTTTTGAAGTGTTCCCCAACTAAGGGCCCATGTTCAGGACTATGCAACAACCCTAAGAAACCCTAAGCCCTAACCCGAAGCTCTAAGCCGCAAAGGGTTCAAAAGAGCTTTTTTAGCAGGTTTAGGTTTTGGAGTCGGTGGTGGATTGGCCGCCCCTCCCCCCCCCCCCGCACCAACACCTAAGCCCCAGATCCTAACACATCCCTAGACCCAAGACCCTAGACCCTAAACCCTAAACCCTAAACCCTAAACCCTACACCTCCCGAGCCTTCGAATCGGCGAACAGCAAGACAGATGCGTGTGCGCCGTCGGGGACTCCGGGAATCTGGGCTTGAAATGAAGAGTTTAGTTTAGGGTTTAGGGTTTAGGGTTCAGGGTTCAGGGTTCAGGGTTTAGGGTTTAGGGTTTAGGGTTTAGGGTTTAGGGTTTAGGGTTTAGGGTTTAGGGTTTAGGGTTTAGGGTTTAGGGTTTAGGGTTTAGGGTTTAGGGTTCGGGGTTTAGGGTTTAGGGTTTAGGGTGTCGAGTGTAGGGTGTAGGGTTAGGGTGTAGGGTTTAGGGTTACTTAGGATTTTGGAGCTGAACGCACAAACCCTAAACCCTAAACCCGGAACCCTAAACCCTAAACCCTAAAACCATATATACTTCCGGATCCTCAACCCTAAACCCCGGT